AAAAAAAAAAAAAAAAAAGCAAAACTCTCCTTTGTTAGAATTCAGGAAAGGTCAGTTAGGAGTAGGGAAGGAGTTTAGTGACTGAAAGGGAATAGGAAGAGGGAGTTTCTGGGGATACTGTAACATTGTTTCTTGAACAGGGTGCTGGTTACACATGTAGATTCAGTTTGTGTATGTATGTATATTACACTTAGTTTTTTTTAGTAATATATCTTTATTACTAAAAAAGTATACAGTTTTTCTGTATGTATATTACACTTAGTTTTTTTTAAAGTAATATATCTTATTTGAGAGAAAGCTAGAAAATACAGACATATTTAACAATTTTTAAATCACCCACAATCCCACTAGCCAGTGATAACTATTGTTAACATTTTAGATTTTTTCCATTTTTTTTCAAGCCAGTGTGCACACGCTCCCTCTTCTCCTCCACCCATATTTACACACATAAATTTTGCTAAATTAGGTTCATTCTCATTTAGTTTTATTTCTGTTTTTTAAATTTTCACATAAACTATATCATTCAATATTCTTTGCCAGCATTTTACAAGCAGCTGAAACATACTCCATTGAATGCATGTGCTCCAGTACATTTAATCAGTTGCCCATTGCTGCATTTTCTAATAATCAGTCACAGTATATCTCTCACACACACACGCACACACGTACACCTCTAGACATTCTTTAAGCTCTGCATTCGTTCTCTATTTCCTTCCAGCAAGGTTGCACCGATTTACAGTTCCACTAGCAAGATGTGAGGGCTCCTTGCATCGCAGTCCAACCCCAGCCCATTTCTTAGTATAGGTTTGTTTTTAGGATGATCGGGCTCAAAGCAGGAATAAGGGATCTGCCGTTTTGGACACGGCCAAGGCACGCAGCTCGCGGGGCCTGGAACTCGCCCTGGGCTGGCCGGTCCCTTCCAGGGGCGCAGGCTCCCGAAGAGACCCAGCCTAGCCGGGCAGCCCAGCACGCTCCCGGGTCCCGCCGCCCCCGCCCCGCCCCGCCCCGCCCCGCCCCGCCCGGTTGCTGTGGGAACCACCGAGCGCGACTGCGCCCGCAGACCAGCCTGTGTCTAAGGGGGGCAAGGGATAGTGAGGCCCAGGCATGGAGCTGCCGGATCCGGTACGCCAGCGGCTGGGAAACTTCAGCCGGGCCGTGTTCAGTGATTCCAATCGGACCGGGCCGGAGTACAATGAGGGTCCCGGTGAGTGGACGAGGCCCGGCGCACGGGGTGTGGCCCGCCGAGGGCTTGGCGTGGGTTTTGGAGCGTCCAGAATTTGCCCAGACCTAAAATGGCGATGTCGCCTTCAGCCAGTTCTCCGCGGTGCTAGCCAGCGCCTTGGAGGAGGGGCCGGGTCAGGCGGGGAGCTGAGGCGCGGGCGGCCTATGGGCCTATGACCCAGGGCCGGGCCTGGTCTGCGCGTGCTGCAGCCCAGCCTGCTCCTTACGATCGAGGCAGCCGAGGTGGGGCCAACCTCTGTGCAGGCGAGGCCCATCATTGTTCCAGAGAAACCCCAAAAATAAAAAGATAAAAGCCGGTTTGCTGCACAGGCTGGTCCCGTGCGCACCAGGAGGGCGAAAGCCCAAGTTGCTTTTTCTCTGCTTCGCCCGCCCAGGCTTTTCTGTGCAGGATGGCGGGAAGCAGCCCAAGCAATCCCACCTCCCCTGTCCCCACCCCCATCCCAGGAAACACATTTGCCCTTTCTCTTTTCCTAGCAGAACAAGTATGTTCCTCTGCAAGGCCATTTGCTGGTAGAAGAAATTTTAAAACAACAACAACAACAACATTTTTAATGAGTCCTTTTAAACCACCATTCACTCTCAACTGGCAAGTGCCATACTAGCCGTGTGTTCAACAAAACTCACCCCTTCCCTGCCTTCTCCTCCTCCCCCATACGTAACTCTTACCATAAGGTAACAAAATACCACGATGCCTCCGCATCCTTCAACCTGATGACAAGTGATAGATAACGCAATTTCCTCCAAAACAGTTTCCTTCTCCTACATCATGATGGTAGACAACACACTGTCAACCAAACCTATGTGGTTTTCATCGTTCAGCTCTGCTGGGAAATAGAAACCTTTTCCTCTGCTTGGTTTTAGCGAATTTTAAAAAGGGACAGAGAAAAGTAAAGTCAGTTTCCATAGCTGCATTTTGTCACCTTGATCACTTGCCTGTTCCCCAAACGTAGGCCTCTATCATTTAGGATATACAGAGAAAACGTGAAAAAATTAAGTTTTGATGTTTCTGGTTCCAAGGATGAGGCTTAATGAGCACTAACATCTGATAATACAAGGTAAAAACAGACGTTTTCTGAAAAGGGCCAGATAGTAAATATTTTGGACTTTGTAGGCCATATGGTCTCCACAGCAGCCATTGATAATAGTTATTGAATAGGCATGGCTGTGTTCCAATAAAACTTTATGAACACTGAAATTTGTATTTCATATGGCTTTCACGTGTGAAAAAAGTATTACTTTTATTAACCATTTAAATATATGAAAAAACATTTTTAGCTCCTCGACTGTACAAAAACAGACAGCTGGCCAGTTTATCTATCCTTGATTTATATTGTATATTTTAATTTAAATTCCATTTAAAGAACTCAACTTGAACTTTTGCAAAATTTAGTAAATTTATGTCTTATGCTTTTAAGTTTCATTTACATATTAACTTGATTTTCATTTCCATGATTATAACTTTGATCTGCTGAAATAGGGACATAGCATAACCTTTAAGATGTTAACACACAATACTTCTAACATAAAAACCATTCTTTGCAAAATTTGACTACAGTTTCTTCTCAAAGGTACTGAAATGTTCAGCTTGCCCAATTTATTATTCTTTCCCACATTTTCTTCTTTGTGGATCTGATTATTTGTGCTGTAATAACAAGTTCATATCATTACCATGTCCACAGCATTGTGCTGTTGCTATGAAAAAGATCCTAGGCTGGTGAGTTGTCTTCAAATTTAACAGATTTTTTTTTTTTTTTTTTTGAGATCGAGTCGTACTCTGTCGCCCAGGCTGGAGTGCAGTGGCCAGGTCTCAGCTCATTGCAACCTCCGCCTCCCTCACTCAAGCAATTCTCCTACCTCAGCCTCTCGAGTAGCTGGGACTACAGACACGTGCCACCGTGCCCAGCTAATTTTTGTATTTTTACAAAATTACCCCCGTAAAGACAGGGTTTCACCATGTTGGTCAGCATGGTCTCATCTCTTGAATTCGTGATCTGCCCACTTCAGCCTCCCAAAATGCTGGGATTACAGGCATGAGCCACCGCGCCTGGCCAAATTTAACAGATTTTTAAGAGTTCACTCCTTTACCAGTGGTAATTTACTAAACGGATATAAGCAAAAGTAGATCATAATAATCAGGCATATTCTTGGAGCTAAAGGAAACTATTTTGCTTTGAGAGACCATGATTATTTATTGTATTTTAAAATTATTAAATGACAGATAAAAACACTCAGCTATGGAGACAAGGAAAAAATAATATTTTAAAGAAATTTATTTTAGAGCCTTTAAAATGTTACGTGTAGAGCAACTAATTTCAGTATATGTATCTGCTCTTAAGAATTTAGTTAAACTTAGGATGTATTGTATAGGGCTCAATTTTAAAAGTCAAATTCTTTATTTAAGACCCTTCTCTCACATAAAAGCACCAAGTGTTATGGAATAAACCTTAGGTAAATGGAACTCATGTATCACAAATGGCTATACTAGTAATGTCCTTATGACAGTATGCTTTCATTAATTCATTCTTACTGCTTATGTTGCTTATGTGTATTTGATATTCACTGTGTATAAAGCAAGACGCTAGATTCTGAGGTTCTCAAATTAGGGTAATACGTGGTCTGTGCTTGCAGTGAGCCTGTAGATAAGTAGAAGAGAAAAAGGAAAGGGGACTAATATTTGTTGTGTGCCTACTAAGTGTGCCAGGCACAGTGCTAGGATGAAATAATGTATATTGGCTCTAATTCTCACAAGCAGCTTGTGAGGAAGCTTTAATTTCACTATTTTACAGATGAAGAAATAGAAGCTCAAAGAGGTTAAATAATTTATATCAAATCTGACAACCAGGGTCACAGAAATTTGGAGAGCTCGAGTTTGCTTGAGCTCTGAAGCCCATGATCTGTTCAGTACACCAGACTGTTTTTTGGGGAGGGGAGTGTGGTTCTTTGCTAGCACTTCTTATAGACAGTTTAGAGTGATAAATGCCTAAAGGGGAAAAGAGATTTCTGCTGAGGTGGAGGAACTGATGAAGGAAATATTGATGGAAAGATGACATTGAATTGGACTTTAAAGAATGGCTAAGAGTAGGGTATGCTGAAAAGAGCGATGTGTCTAATTATAACCTTGGTAATCTGTTTTTGTATGAGATTAGTTTATATGTGAGAGATTCATTTTTTTAATTTTATGCATTAATTTTATATGCTCTTTACATAGAATTCTACAAAGGAGGCAATGATAATGATCTGTTGAATAGGATTTATATTGATATTCCACATTAAATCTATACCAGTAGTATATGCAAAAAAGTCAGAAGACTGTAATGGTAAAATGGTAAAATAATTGAAAAGCATGAAATGTACCCCCAAATAGCCAATATTTGATCTAAATGGTATTAGGATGAATATTCCTTTTACTGTCAATGATTACAAATAGGCTTAAAATTTGGAGTTTTACTGAGCCAATATTATAGTTATTAACTCTAGGGAACAGGATCTATATATAGGGCATAGACCAGGATTCATAATTTGTTCCTTTTCTATCCCTTCTATAGAAAATGAAATGGTCTCCAGTTTGGCATTGCAGATGTCACTTTATTTTAATACCTACTATTTCCCACTGTGGTGGGTGAGCAGCATTATGATGCTTCACGTGAAGGTAAATCTAAGCTTTAATACTTTTGCTGCCCTGATGTTGTTAGAGTGTCAATAAAATTAAAGTTCTTAATAATTTTTTTCTATCTCAGATTAATGTTACTATATGTGAAATTTTACAAACATGTTTTGGCTTTTCTTTTTTTAGTACTCAATCTTGCCTGATTACTACAAATTCATTGTGATCACTGTTATCATCCTAATAACCTTAATTGAAGCCATCCGCTTATATCTGGGCTACATGGGTAACCTACAGGAGAAGGTAAGCTCTTTTTTCCTCTCAGTGATAGATATAAATGAAATCAGTTTTCATAACAAGTAAAAGGCAGTGAGGTATGGCAGAAAGAGCACAGGCCTGAATTTAAGGGCTGACTCCAGCTTTAACACTTCCGTTACTGTGGTCTGTTTGCTTAATCTCTTGAGCCCTGGTTTCCTCATATATAAAATGGGAAAAATAATATTTACTTCACAGGTTGGTTGTGATTAAGTGAAATGATTTATATGAAGTATATGAATGTAGTAAACACTTAAAATTGATATTTTCCCTCATCAGTCTTGAAAATACATGGTCACTTAAACATATGTATCTGGATCCTGAATAAGAAAATGGGGTAAATTATAAATTCATTTCCTATGCCAGGCCCATGTTTTCTGCATCATCATGCTGCCTAAGTATTTATGGTTACCAGAGTATAGGGGTAGTGCCTAAAGATTCCTGTGGTTTTCTAGGCCCTTCATAATAAGGCCCCACCCAGCCTGTCTTACTATAGGTTTTGTTGTTTTCTCACCCAGACGTCCATTCCAGGCTGATGTATTGATCCCCAGTCATGCTAGTTTCACATGTTTGCTTACTTACCTTTTTGCCTCTTCTTCCTTCTCCACAACTTTAAAAGCCTACATTCCTGAGGTCTTTCACCTACCCTAATCACTGTCTTATTTCTTATAGCATTTAGTCTGTACTTCTAAATATTGCACTTAATTGTTTACTAACATGCAGTATTCTAGGATTGTTTTATATAAATTAGTTTTCTCATCTAGATTGTAAGTTCTCTGAGGACACGGACCATGTCATCTTTCTTTGGAATTACCCACAGAGCCCATCATGCAGGTTCACAGTAGTGATAAGTACTTGTTTATCTATATAAACAAACCTGTATTTTACTGATTTTTGTTACTCTTGATGTGTGTCATTACAGGTTCCTGAGTTGGCTGGCTTTTGGCTTTTGAGCCTTCTATTGCAGTTGCCTTTAATTCTTTTCTTGCTCTTTAATGAAGGCCTAACAAATCTGCCCTTGGAAAAAGCAATACATATCATCTTCACTCTCTTCCTTGCTTTCCAAGTTGTTGTAGCATTTCTTACCTTGAGAAAAATGGTCAATCAGTTGGCAGTTCGTTTTCACCTCCAAGACTTTGACCGGCTCTCTGCAAACAGAGGAGACATGAGAAGGATGAGGTCATGTATAGAAGAGATCTGACCCAGTGTTGTTGAGTGAAAATCTGACAGATCATTCTAGAAGACTGTAAGAGCTAGGAAAATATCAGCGATCTAACAATGAGAAAAGGGAAAAAGCAAGTGTTTTGAATTATATACGCTCTCACTCAGAAATTCCAAGGTTGAGGACAATGATGAAACTTTGTACAGTATATGAAACAGTGTATTAACCCTAAAACCTAGATGTTGTCCACCTGATGCCAAATTTCTTAATTTTTTGGATGTTGTCTTTTTTAGGAGTATAGAAATCTACGTATTGGTGGTTGTCATTTGCCTGTCTTCCTGTAATATTTCTGGTTAAAATCTGTAACTAGAGATGTGTACATTTCTTTAAAACTTGTTGGTTGGCTGGGCGCCGTGGCTCACACATGTAATCTCAACACTTTGAGAGGCCAAGACAGGCAGATCACGAGGTCAGGAGTTCAAGACCACCCTGGTTAACACAGTGAAACCTTATCTCTACTAAAAATACAAAACTTAGCCGGCAGCGGTGGCACACGCATGTAGTCCCAGCTACTTGGGAGGCTGAGCAGAAGAATCTCTTCAATGTGGGAGGCAGTGGTTGCGGTGAGCCGAGACTGTGCAAATGCACTCTAGCCTGGGCAACAGAGTGAGACTCCATCAAAAAAAAAAACAAAAACAAACTTGTTGGTTATCCATGTCTTAGTTGCACGTCTGACCATGTTTCTTGACATGGAAATGCCAGCCAGTGTTCCTGTGTATTTGACTATATTTATAAACCAAGAGACCACATTTTTATGTCTGCTAGGGTTAAATTCTAACCCTAATATTAGCTGTCATACTGAGATTAAGAAGAAAACAGGTGGATTGCCATGGTATTTAGGAAATATTTTTGTCATAAAATTATAACTTTCATAAGACCATATTCAGTGTTTGTAATGGTGGTATACAAAATGCTTTTATAATAAATTATTAAATATTTAAGTTAAAGTATCAGCAACAAATCATCCTTGTCTTGTGCAATTCTTTTGGGCTATAGATTTGTTTTTTGTTTTTTTTATTACTGAGTTGCAAGGGAAGGAAGAAAAACAAATCCTAGAGAGCTTTCTATGTAGTGGACACTGTAGTGGGCACTTTAACTTAGTGCTCGTGATTTCATCTACTAGGTTACTGTTCACCAAAGAACCGCTTCATACCCATTAAATTCACATGAGGCTTGATTTGGAAACCAGAGCACCTCTTAATACATATGAGAGCTAAGATGGCCAAAGGGACTATACTCATGATCCAAAATGAGTATGCTCTCTTGCTAATTGGAGAAATCTATTTTAGGAGATTGGGTTAAGAACAAAGTTGTTTGGGTGTGTCTGAACACATATTTAAGTGACTCGGATTGTCTTAAAGGATATGATATTTCATTACAGGTTTTCTTTTTTTTCTATAGGGAAATGGGCCTTTATAAGTAATGTATTTTACTGAGGGACAGTTGTAGCTACATTAAAAACTGCCCTTTTCAATTTTCTTTTTTTATAATTCGTGCTTATCTTAGGATTTCCAGGTTTTGCTTTATTCATTCTTGTTTTGCTGAACTTCAAAAAATGTCTTCACTTCCCACTCATTCTTGATTTTTCCTGACTGAACTATGCTAATTTTATTATTTCTGCTCTTTAGGATTATATATAAAGTTCAGCCAAATATTTCTCCCTCCATCCAGTGGCTGATTAATCTTTCTCATACCAAAGTAGTCACTAGTTATACTCTTAATAATTTGGAATTTAAAATAGAATTCTGTTTGAATAGTTTTCTAAAACATATATGTTTGCATTTGTTTCCCAGATGGGACTAGGTAGATGATTCTGTAAGATAATATAAAATTAAATCTACAAAGCAGATAAATTAGGGCATGATGGAGACTTTTCTATTTCAAGATTGTTTCCAGAGTTTTATTTTAAATAGCAGAATTTCTGGCACATTTAAACTTTAGGATTAAGAGATTAATAACAAAATGTCAGTCATAATCATAAAAAGTTTTTTAAACTAAAAAATTGAGAAAACGGATTTATCAAAATTTTCAAGTAATTTTGCTGTAATAAACATATCGCCTAAAATGCAGATATAGTAACAGTGGGGGGAAAAAAAGATAGAAAATTGAGACCATGACCAAGTCATTTGTTTGTTTTTCATGTGAACAATAAAACCATGATTTTTTTGTGTTAGGCTGAACGAATATTTTCCATTGGAATATACCTGGTTCCCTATATAAGTATATGAAAATCAGGGTAGAGATGATATTTACATGTCAGCACATTTGGGGGGTTAGGCAGTCTTTATTTTAATTTTATTTGAATATGTTTATCCATCCTTAATTTATGTTATATCCTTCTCTCTAAGGATTTTCAACACTGTTCTGAAAATTTTTAATTAAAATGTTGAACTTCACAAATGTTTTGTCCTTTACATATTTTTTTCTTCCAGAGGCTTTTTCTCATCAGAGACAAGATAGGCATAAATTTCTGTAAATCAAAATTATTTTATTTTTTTTATTTTTTATTTATTTTCTTTTTGAGACAGAGTTTTGCCCAGGCTGGAGTGCAGTGGTGCAATCTCAGCTCACTACAACCTCTGCCTCCCGGGTTCAAGTGATTCTCCTGCTTCAGGCTCCCGAGTAGCTGGGATTACAGGCACCTGCCACCACACCTGGCTAATTTTTTTTTTTTTTTTTGTATTTTTAATAGAGACAGGGTTTCACCCTGTTGGCCAGGCTGGTTTTGAATTCCTGACCTCAAGTGATCCACCCACCTCAGCCTCCCAAAGTGCTGCGATTACATATAGGCATAAGCCACCACACCAGGCCTAAATCCAAATTATTTTAAAACATCGAAACTTATTAATTTAACATACACTTGAATGACTAGTATATGTAAGGAATAGTCAAAGGTTCATAGACAAGACATGCTCCTGGTTCTCAGGGATATGATGTGGGAGGTAAAACATTTGTACAACCTTAAGACAAAGTAAAAAACCGTAACTTTATCAGGGAAGTGCACTTGAATGAGTTTCTACCTACTAAGTACCTGACAAGTAACAGGCCCTTGGCTTCCAGTGCATCTTCCGTCTGTGTTCCTAGCACTTAGTATCCCAGGATTAAGCACATTAGCCCTACATCAACACCATTTAGCATTCACCGTGCTCCACATTGTCTGAGGGAGGTAGATGGTATTCAGGTTAAATGAATACACACTCAATGCCACTTGCCTGTGCAAACAAGAAGTTCACTGTCTGGTAGAAAAGGCAGATAAACAAATCTGGCAGAAAAGGCAGATAAGCTATAAGTGATAGCACAGTGTGATGGGGCCCTGTAGGATTACAGAGAAGAGACATCTAAATGACGAAATCTGGAAAGCCTTCCCAAAGAAAGTGACACTTGAGATTTGAAGAATGAGTAGGTATTAAATTCAGTGTTAAGAAACAAAAAATAGTGACTGTGAGTTCTGTTTCAACTACTATAACTAGTTTGTTGAGGCTAGTGGAAAGTGTGCATGAGAAGAAATGGTGCAGAATAAGGCAGAGAAGCTTGGAAGGTGCTAGCAAGCCTGTCTACAGCTTTGAATATATTCTGACTCCCTGAATAAACAGTGGAGTATCACAAACAGAATTAGGTTTCAGAAAGACCTCTTTGAAGACAATGTGAAAAATGGATTGAAAGTGTTGGACCAGAGGCAGAGATACCAAGAGGAATGTAATTAAGTAACTTAGGAATGGATAAAGTCAGTGGCAATAAAATAAGCTTGAATAGAACCTACTATAGCGTTTTAAAGATAATTTCGTATTTTAAAACAGATATTAGGAGAGTTTTTTTTTTCTAATTTGTCTTTTCAGAGATTACCTATAATGGTTAACTAAATTATATATTCACTGCCTTTCTTATCTCCTATCTGCCCCACACCCACAGTTATTATTATTATTTTTTATTGTTTTTTAGAGACAGGGTCTTGCTCTGTCACCCAGGCTGGAGTGCGGTGGCACAATCATAGCTCACTGCAGCCTCCAACTCCTGGGCACAAGTGATCTCACCTCAGCCATCCAAGTAGCTAGGACTACAGGCACGTGCCACCATGCCCGGCTAATTTTTAAAAAATTTGTAGAGCTGAGGTCTCACTATGTTGCCTAGGCTGGTCTTGAACTCCTGGCCTCAAGCGATCCTCCTGCCTCAGCCTCCGAAGGTGCTGGGATTACAGAGGTGAACCACCACACCCAGCCATTAGACTATTATTAGACTTAAATAGAGCTCTATCTGAAATAATCTAAGTTTTATTTGACATAACCTAATTAATGATTCTTTACTTGAATTACGTTTAGAGTTTTTAAAAACTCAAAAGGAACAGAATCACGAGATTCTGAGAGTAAAGAAAAATCGTCTATAATTCTACCACCTTAAAATAACAACTATTAGCAAATGTCATGTTTCTTTGACATTTTTACTTTGCAAATAGTTTTTTAAAAGAAACAATTGTGATCATAGGCACTTATAATTGTGCACCCTGCTTTTCTGAAAACCTTGGATGTATTTGCCTATGTTTCTACATAGTTACAAAGTCATCATCTTAAATGATTGTGTGTTATTTGATCAAGTAGATGGACCGTAATTTATTTAACTTCTATCATTAGATGTTTCTGTTATTTACTTTTTCTTTTATATATAACATTGTAATGAACATCTCATGCATATAGCTCTTTTCATATCTTAGACGATTCCTTTTAATTAATAAGCCAGATTTTTGGAAGTGAAATTGCTGGGTCATAGAGTATGAACGTTTTTAAGGCCAAAATACCAAATTATATCCACTTTCTACCATTTACCACTTACAATTCTAAAAATAGTACAATGAAAATTCTGACAAGGACAGATTTGTGGACTTTAGTTACCCATTTGTCTTTGTATTTCTGAGTAGCTACCGCAGGAACACTGAGTCTTGTGAGAAAGGGAAAAAAAAAAAATCTGAAAGCTATGAAAGGAGAACTGCAAAGAATAAAAAAAAAAAAAGATTTTTGAATTAAGGGAAAACTGATAAGGGACGGGAAAAGGATTAGGCAAGCTGGTCGCAGTCAACAACAGACAGTGAGATGTGACACAATAAAAACTGGGTCATTGAGTTGGGACAGCCCTAGGACATAAAAAGACTGAAATGAAGTAAAGCTCTGGATTACTTTGTTCTTGAATATTGAATTTTTTCAGAAGCATGGAGCATGAAATATTATAGTGATAAGCCAAGATTGGAAACATAGCCAAGAAAAAGAGGTCTTTAAGGGATTGTTTAAAATGTGCTGAAGGAATAATTTGGTTGGGTCTTAAACGGCTCAAAAAGTAAATTGACATAAAGCTTTTGCATAGCAAAATAGGCATGGAGGCAGAAAACAAAGCGGCAAACAGAAGAGTTTACCGTGTAAATTGGTTAGCATGTAATATGTTAGATTTTGGTCATAGAAAAGATTTATCACAAGACTTAACTGCTGT